AGTGGGCGCGACGTCGGTCCCTGCGGGTACCGGATCCTGACTGGCCCGGGTGCTGGCACCACCTGCTGGAGTCCTGACCACTCTGCGTCCCCCTGCTACCGTCGCCTCGACGACCTCCACCGTGAGCGTTTTGGTCCTCATGCTATTACACCGCACTGGCCCTCGCGTTTTCGCCAGCGCACTGCTGCACCAGTTGAGTCTCACCGACCTGGTCTATGACCGTTCCCGGCTGCACGAGTAGAGACCTGTGTTTCCAGTCTTGGTGCGTGTGTTGTTTCTAGTCCGGGCCCCTCTGAGCGTCTTTATGTAGGAGCTGATGCTACCACTAGTCTAGCACCAGCCTTTGTCGCTGGCTCGGGTGCGACCTCACAGACTGCACAGCTTTCCTTCACCCTAGACTCTGGAGCGTCCAGCTGCATCTTTTGCGACTATACTGACCTCACACCACTGCGCACTGCAGTCACTGTCGCCTTGGCTGACCCCTCCGTGGGACCTGTAGTTGCCCACAGCACCACCACTCTCCCGTGTTCGGCGGCTCCTTCTAGGTTTCTCACAGGTTACTACACCCCCAGGTTCTCCAGGAACCTGGTGGGTGTTAGTCACCTCCACGACCTAGGCGTAGTCACTACTTTCCCACTGGACGAGTCAGTTGCCTCCTGCACAGTCATTGCCACTGGGGCACCTCTGGCCACTTTCCAGAGGGAGCCGGGCTCTAGTCTGTACTCACTACACACTGGGTCCCACCACACTGGGTCAGGTCAGGTCAGGTCAGGTCAGGTCAGGTAGCTGCTATGTCGTGCAATTGACGGTCACTCACTCACCCGTCGTTCTCACGTCTCAGTAGGATGGCACGTTACCGTCTGGTCTCAGGTCTCCCACAGTCGCTTGCCCCGCTTCCTCGCTCGCCTGCGCCGCCATGCACTCCTTTCGTCGAGGGTCGGCAGCGCGCTGCCCCTCACTCCTCCTCGTTCCCCCCCACCACGGCTCCCTTCCAGACCCTGCACTTGGACGTTTCGGGCCCCTCCCCGGTCCGTGGCCCACGTCAGGAGCGCTACTTCATGATTATGGTGGACGACTACTCCCGCTACACCACGGTTTTCCCCTTGCGAAGGAAGGCCGACGTGCCTACCGTCCTCGAGCCGTGGCTACTAGCGTGGGATGGCGCCCAGGCCCTTTGTGGGCTCCGCCTGCACTCGGACCGTGGTGGTAACTTTTCTTCCACTCGCCTAGACACGTTATGTCAGGGTCGGGGGATCCTCCAGTCTTACACGCTACCAGCCTCGCCGCAGCAGAACAGGGTAGCCGAGCGATGCATCGGCCTGGTCATGGAGGTTGCCCGGACCTCCATGTGCCATGCCGGTGCCCCCTTGTTCCTGTGGCCTCAGGCAGTCCGCTACGCCGCGCACCAGCTGAACCTGTGGCCTAGTGACGCACGGCCGCGGGTGATGCCGGTCTCCCTTTGGACACGTTCTCCGGGCGTAGCAGCTGACTTCCGCGTCTGGGGTTCTCTGGCTCACGTTCGCGCTCCTGGCGTGAACAAGTTGTCTCCGCGCACTCGTGCCTGCGTCTTTCTTGGCTTCCCTTTGGACACCGCCGGCTGGGTGTTCTACGACCCACTCACCTACGAGTTCTTCAGTTCCCAGGACGTCACGTTCGACGAGTCTGTCTGTTGCTACAGGAGTCGCCCCCACCGAGGAACTGAGGTCTTTCCCCCCCCGCTGTTCCTCACCCTTGAGCCCCCCCCCCCGGTAGCCCCCCCCCCTTCGCGTCCTGCCCCGTTAGGTGTGTCGCATGTCACTCCGCAGTCGTCCCCCCCGCAGCGTCCAGTCCCTGTCGTGTCTGGGGGTGCGGGAGGTGCAGTTGCGGAGGGTGAGGGTGATGGGGCTGCAGGAGCTTGTGGTGTCGGTTCTGGGGGTGCAGTGGGTGTGGGCGTGGAGGTCACTCCCGTGGAGGACACAGCAGCCTCGACTAGGCGGCCTCGCCCCGCGTCACCCCTTGGCTTCCCGTCCGTCCCGCAGTTCCCTCCTTGTTCTTCTCTGCGGCCGGTTGCTGCGGAGCCTGGGGGTGTTCCTGCTGGAGGTACTGGAGGCCCCGGGGGTGTCGGTGGTGGAGCTGCAGGAGCTGGAGGCACTGGCACTCTGGCGCCTACACCACGTACTGTACGTTTCCTGACCCGTGAGCAGCGTCTCCTCCGGTTGGAGAGGGAGGAGCGTGAGCGGTTTGTGAGGGCACAGCAGCAGGAGCAGCAACAGCAGCAGCAGCAGCAGGAGCAGGAGCAGGAGCAGGAGCAGTCTCGGCTTAATCGGCAGGAGAGAGTAGAGGAGGAGACACAGCAGCAGCACCGAGAGCAGAGGAGGGGTCACGACTGCAACAGCAGGTGCAGTTGCAGCCGCAGCAGGAGAGAGTAGAGGAGGAGTCACGGCCACACCAGGAGAGGGTAGAGCAGGAGTCTCGCCGCAGCACCTGGTACAGTTACATACACAGCAGGAGAGAGTAGAGGAGGAGTCACGGCCGCAGCAGGAGAGGGTAGCGCAGGAGTCCCGGTCGCAGCAGCGGGTGCAGCTGCAGCCGTAGCAGGAGAGGGCAGAGGAGGAGCCACAGGAGCAGCAGCAGGGGCAGGTACCGTCGCAGCAGACGCCAGAGGAGGCGAAGCAGCAGCGACTGCGACTGCGCGACCTGCCCGACCCAGCACCTGCACTCTTGGTTCGTGGTCCCCTACCGTCCCCTTCTGTTCCCCCTGTCCAGTCCCTTTCCTCGTCCCAGTGGATTGTCGTTCTCCCCTCAGTCGTGCTGTGTCTCCAGAGCCCCGTCGGTCTCGTTACCGTGCAGACGGCCCGTTTCACCTTGTACTCCGCTCTCGTGTTACACCTTCTTCAGTCCTTCCACAGTCTCCTGACTCGTCCCTCACTGTGCTTCACGACCTGTTGTCCGACTACCTCCGTGCCTCCCGTCATGTCATCTCCCGTGTTTTGTCCGCGTTGGTCACTCACCCGACTGCACCCATGTCGTCTGTCTCAGCACTTGTTACCACTGTCGCTGGCTTTGCCTCTTCCCACTGCCTTGACTACGCCGCTCGTGAGTTGTGGCCCTGCTCGTTCTCCGTCCTCTGGGGGTGCTCCTGTCTTTCCCCTGGAGGTCCTCGAGGACAGGCAGTTCGAGCTTGGTTTCCTTGCGGCCGCTGTTCCTCATCTTTGCGCCATGTTGCTTGCCCCTGAGGGGGATCCAGACGCTCTTGACATCCCGATCCCTCGCACACACGCTGAGGCGGTGTCGGGACCTTGGGCCTCGTACTGGATAGCAGCTGAGGAGGCAGAGATGGCAACTTATAGGTCCACGGGCACCTACGTCGACGTCGTTCCGCCACCTGGGGCGAACGTTGTCAGTGGCATGTGGCTCTACAAGGTGAAGCGGCCACCTGGATCACCACCGGTGTTCAAGGCGCGTTACGTGGCGAGAGGCTTCAGTCAGCGAGAGGGGGTTGACTTCTTCCAGACCTTTGTTCCCACCCCGAAGTTGACCACTCTTCGGGTGTTGCTGCATATAGCAGCTAAGCGCGACTACGAGTTGCACTCCTTGGACTTCTCCACAGCGTTCCTACAGGGGAGCCTGCACGAGCAGATCTGGCTGCGTCGTCCGCCTGGCTTCACTGGCTCTTTCCCTCCTGGGACCCAGTGGGAGCTGCGTCGACCGGTCTACGGCCTGTGCCAGGCTCCCCGCGAGTGGCACGACACGCTACGTATAACTCTTGCAGCGCTTGACTTCTTTCCGTCGTCTGTCGATCCGTCGCTGTTCGTCCGCCGTGGCTCGACCCCGTTCTTTGTTCTGGTCTACGTTGACGACCTGGTCTTCGCCACTCCCAACCGACACGCACTGGCCTCCGTGAAGGAGGAACTGCAGAGGAGACACACTTGCACTGACCTTGGTGAGCTGCAGCGCTACCTTGGCCTGCAGATCACCAGGGACAGGGCAGCTCGCACCATTACGCCGACTCAGTCGCATATGGTCGAGCAGATCCTCACGCGGTTTCGCTTCCCGTTCTCCAAGGTACAGCCCACCCCTCTTGCCGTGGATCATGGGCTCACGGCTCCACCTTCGGACGAGCCATTGGAGTCCAGTGGTCCATATCCTGAGCTGGTGGGATGTCTCATGTACCTGATGACCTGTACTCGCCCAGACCTATCTTACCCTCTTAGCGTCCTTGCGCGCTTTGTTGCGCCTGGGAGACACCGACCTTCCCACTGGTACGCTGCTAAGAGGGTGGCGAAGTATGTGGCGAGTACATCAGGCATGGGACTTGTCCTTGGAGGGAAGCAGCCAGTTACACTTACAAGTTTCTCGGACTCGTCTTGGGCCGACGACGCAGAGTCGCTGCAGTCTACACAGGGTTACTGCTTCAGCCTTGGCACCGGAGCTGTTTCGTGGAGGTCGACTAGGGCGTCGTCCGTCTCTAGTTCCAGCTGTGAGGCAGAGGTGTACGCTGCGGCCATGGCCGCCCAGGAGCTTCGCTGGCTGTCTTTCCTTCTCACCGACCTTGGTGACCGGCCTCGCTCTCCCCGAGTCTTGTTCGCCGACAACAGGTCTGCTATCCTGTTGTGCGAGGAGCCTCGACTGGTTAGGAAGGCGAAGCACATCCAGCTTCGTTACTTCCTTCTGCGAGAGTTGCAGCAGCGAGGCCAGGCACTCGTGCGACGTGTGGTCTCTGAGGCCAACACTGCATATATCTTCACCAAGGCGTTGCCGCCTTGTGACCACCAGCGTTTCTGCACTCATGCATGTCTTGTACTTTTGCATCTTCTATATCTGTTTTGTCATTGTATGTGAACTGGCCTTGTGGCCTCTTGTTTGTTCTCGGAATGCGTGGTGATCTTGAGATCCACCCCGAGCTTTGTGTTATTCTTCTGAACTGGTCTTGTGACCATTGTTTGCTCTTGCTGACTGGTCCCGTAACCCTTTCTCTTCGACTGTGTGTTGCTTTTCACAGGACTACCGTCACCTAGACTATGGGGGTGTGTCAAAGTATAATTGTTATGGTTTGTATTTGCTAGTCTAGGGGGTGTACACTTATGTTTAGGGTTGGCTAGGGTTGACCAGGGTTTGCTATATCTTCCTTGTCCTTGTCATTTCTAGTCAATCATTATTCCGTTACCTCGTTGACAAGCACTCCCCTCCCAACCCAGCCGTGCCATCAGTCCCTCCCAACACCGCCGTGCCAGCAGTCCCTCCAAACCCCGCCGTGCAAGCAGTCCCTCCTAACCATGACGTGAGAACAGTCCCTCCCAACCCCTCCGTGCCATCTATCCCTCCCAACCCGCCGTGAGAGCAGTCCCTCCCAACCCCGCCGTGCCATATGTCCCTGCCAACCCTGCCGTGAGAGCAGTCCCTTCCAACCCCGCCGTGCCATCTGTCCCTCCCAACCCCGCCATGAGAGCAGCCCCTCCCAACCCCGCTGTGCCAGCATTCCCTCCCAACCTTTCCGTGCCATTGATCCCTCCCAACCCTGTCGTGAGAGCAGTCCCTCCTAACCCCGCCGTGCAAGCAGTCCCTCCCAACCCCGCCATGCCATCAGTCCATCCCAACCCCGCTGTGCCAGTTGTCCCTCCCAACCCTGTCGTGCCATCAGTCCCTCCCAACCCCGCCGTGCCAGCAGTCCCTCCCAACCTCAGCCGTGCCATCAGTCCCTCCCAACCCCAGCCGTGCCATCTGTCCCTCCCAACCCCAGCCGTGCCATCAGTCCCTCCCAACCCCGCCGTGCCAGCGGTCCTCCGAACCCTTCCGTGAAAGCAGTCCCTCCCAACCCCGACGTGAGAACAGTCCCTCTCAACCCCAACGTGCCATCTGTCCCTCCCAAACCCGCCGTGAGACCAGTCCCCTCCCAACCCCGCCGTGCCATCTATCCCTGCCAACCCCGCCGTGAGAGTAGTCCCTCCCAACCCCGCCGTGCCATCTGCCCCTCCCAACCCCGCCGTGAGAACAGCCCCTCCCAACCCCGCTGTGCCAGCATTCCCTCCCAACCTTTCCGTGCCATCAGTCCCTCCCAACCCTGTCGTGAGAGCCGTCCCTCCCAACCCTGCCGTGCCAGCAGTCCCTCCCAACCCCGCCGTGCCATTAGTCCATCCCATCCCCGCCGTGCCAGTTGTCCCTCCCAACCCCGCCGTGCCATCAGTCCCTCCCAACCCCGCCGTGTCAGCAGAACCTTGCAACCCCGCCGTGAGAGCAGTCCCCTCCCAACCCAGCCGTGCCATCAGTCCCTCCCAACCCCACCGTGCCAGCAGTCCCTCCCAACCCCGCCGTGCCATCAGTCTCTCCCAACCTCGTCCCGCCATTAGACCCTCCCAACCCCGCCGTGAGAGGAGTCCCTCCCAACCCCGCCGTGCCGGCAGTCCCTTTCAACCCCGCCGTGAGAGCAATCCCCTCCCAACCCAGCCGTGCCATCAGTCCCTCCCAACCCCACCGTGCCAGCAGTCCCTGTGAACCCTGCCGTGCCAGCAGTCCCTCCCAACCCCGACGTGAGAACAGTCCCTCCCAACCCCACCGCGCCATCTGTCCCTCCCAACCCCGCCGTGAGAGCAGTCCCTCTCAACCCCGCCATGCCAACGGTCCCTGCCAACCCCGCCGTGAGAGCAGTCCCTCCCAACCCCGCCATGCCAGCAGTCCCTCCCAACCCCGTCGTGCCATCAGTCCCTCCCAACCCCGCCGTGCCAGCAGTTCCTCCCAACCCCGCCGCGCCATCAGTCCCTCCCAACCCCGCCGTGAGAGCAGTCCCTCCCAACCCCGTCGTGCCAGCAGTCCCTCCCAACGCCGCCGTGAGAGAAGTCCCTCCCAACCCCGCCATGCCATCGGTCCCTCCGAACCCCGCCGTGCCAGCAGTCCCTCCCAACCCCGCCGTGCCATCAGTCTCTCCCAACCTCGTCGTGCCATCAGACCCTTCCAACCCCGCCGTGAGAGCAGTCCCTCCCAACCCCGCCGTGCCAGCAGTCCCTTTCAACCCCGTTGTGAGGGAAATGTCAACGGGAGTTGTTGTCGTCCCCGTCCTCGCTTGGGCGGAGCCGACTTCGTGGTTGGGTGTACGGGAGGTACAACCGACTTGTAGCAGTGGTCGATGGGGTTGGTCGACTTGCACGGGGTCACTGCAATGCCGCAGACTTGGGAAGCCGGCGGCCGACTTCAACTGGTGGTCGGCGATGTGGCACGTCGACCTGGAAGTCGGCGCCGACTTGCAAGGTCACCGACTTGCAAGGTCACCGACTTGCAAGGTCACCGACTTGCAAGGTCACCGACTTGCAAGGTCACCGACTTAGAAGGTCGCCGACTTGGGAGGTCGCCGACTTGGGAGGTCGCTGACTTGGGAGGTCGCCGACTTCAAGAGGTCGGCCCGGAAGTTGGCGCCGACTTCAGGGAGGTCGACCTGGGATGTCGACCTGCGGAGGGCGTCGACTTGGTGACGCCGACTTCGGGTAACCGACTTGGGTGGTCGGCTGACGACTGTGCTGGTCGACGTGGAGCTGGTCGACCAGGAGTGACGTCGACCTGGAGCTGGTCGACCAGGGGTGTGGTCGACCTGGTGAGGTCGACTGGAGGTGGCCGTCGACTTGGGAGGTCGACGGGCACATACAGGAGCACCTGGTCGACGTGGTTGCCCGGTCGACCAGGTTACCTGGGTGACGAGGTTGTGCGGAAGAGTGCGACGGTCGCCCAGGCGATGTTGGCGAGACTGACCTCGGTGGTGGTATCCCGAGGTCGACGTGGCGGATCAGGTGGAGTCGTCAGCACGAGGATGACACGGTGTGTGCGTTGTGCAGGTGACAAGGCTTAGCCCGCCAATCATCTGCGAGCACCTGCGAAGTAGGTGCGCTGCTGTTCTGCGGGAGCAACGCTGGCACGCCGTCAACCTGCAGCGTTGGCACGCCGTCGACTTTGCACCGCTGGAGCGCGGTCGACCAAGTCGTGCTGGAACGCGGTCGACCATGCTGTGCTGGCAGTCGACCGACCTGAATGCTAGCTCTGATGTAGTCTTGCCATGCCAAATTTATTGTACCATTGTTGTCAACCTTCTCTAGTGAAACTCTTGCCAACTTGCCCCGTGAACTAGCAAGCAGTGTGTGCACTAGGAAAACGACTAAGGACCAACGAACGCAGAGATCACACGAGCACCCGTGCCTAGCCCGTAGTCTAGCTCCCGTTGTAGTAGTTATCTCCGCATGGTGCGGTGAGCGTGGACGGCACACGACTTACCTTTCAGTCAGGTCGACGTAGAGGTCACTTAACTAAGTTGTTCGTAGCCCGGCAGCCGTGCAGTCACTAGCGTGCGCGTAGGTGACGACAAGGGAATGGAGACCCTGGAAGCACAGCAGGAGGACGCGAGGACACGCCATGGGGCCCAGGAGTACGGAACGATCCCCTGGGCGGTTGTGGAGGCTGGCATTCGCACCATGTGGGCGACGTTGCACCCTCCTCAACCTGCGTCTCCTCGACCGGTGAACACAGAGGGCGGCGTCGACGTCGGCGTCAACGCCGGTGGTGACCAGGTCGGTAGCAGTGCGGGAGGCACGTCGAGGCAGAGAGGTGTGATACACGCCGATGAAGTCGGCGGCGTTCAGGCGCAGGGATTGCGGCCGTCGGCGGCTGCAGGCTCCTCGCATGGCAACGTCGGAGGTCGACGAAGTGGGTTGTCGCCGATGTCGGCGACCCAGGTGACGGCGGGCGGGATTGCACCGAGCTACGGCTACTTCAAGTTTACGCCGGACAGGATCTTGGTCACCCCGCCGCTCACTTGTCGACCTGACATCCTCACCTAGAAGGAAGCTATCGAGCCCCAGCTGGAGATGGCTGGGCTGATCAGCTTCGCCCGAGGGACCGTGGCGACGCCGGAGGAGCACCACGCCGACTTACGAGCGGAGTTCCGCGCCGTGCAGCTGTTGACCTTCACGGTCATCTCGCGGTGCTGCTCGCCAGGCGTGCAGATCGCCCTGAAGTGGTGCCGAGAGTACCTCGACGCCGGCCACCGGGCGTGGCACTTCATTGAGTCGACCTACCAAGTCACCGATGACTTGTTCATCGCCCAGCTGGAGGGGCAGCTGACACACCTGCGTATGGGCGACGAGGAGATAGCGACCGACTACTGCAACCGAGCCCGGCGAATTCTCGCCACCATCAGGATGGCCGGCGCGCAATACTCGACGGCGTCGTACGTCACCCACGTCATGCAAGGACTCTCGAGCAGCTACAACCTCCTGAAGCGGCTGTCAATGGCGCCGAGCACGAGGACGACGCTCAACGAGGACAACTTGACCTCGTACATCCTGCAGGACGAGGCGATGCAGGAGGCTGAGCTGTCCCAGGAGCTCTTGGCGCAGGCGCACTTCGTCGCCCCGGCGAAGCAAGGAGGTCGACCACGGCAGCGCGGACAGCCTGGCGGCGGTGGTAGCAGTGGCTGGAAGTCGGCCAAGGAAGTCGACAAGAAGAGGTCGACCAAGGACAGCGGTCGAGGAGGAGGAGGTCGACGTCGGGAGTGCTGGCTATGCGGCGACCCCGACCACCTCTCCTTCGAGTGCCCTGACCGCAGTGACTCTGATGACGAAGACGACGCCAAGGGAGGCCATGGGAGGTCTGGCAGCCGTCGTCCTCGTCGAGGAGGAAACAAGCCGCGCAAGGAGAAGCAGTCGACGACGTCGACCTCGGCGAAGGACGTCGACTCCTCTGCTGGCGGCAAGGGGCGGGACGACAAGACGGCGTCGTGGAGTCGACCTTCTCGCTGGCACCGGAGGCCGGAGAAGACTTCCAGGCGGTGGCGGTAGCTGTGCAGGCAAACCCGGCGGTGGTCCTGCTCGACAGCGGCTGCTCGCACCACCTGATGGGGACGAAGGAAGTCTTCGTCGACCTGCAGCCGTGCGGCTCCATCAAGCATGTGTGCGGCTTCAATGGGGCGCTGCAGGACGTCCAGGGCCGTGGCACCGTCGCCCTGCAGGGAGAGGCCGGGAAGCAGGTGCTCATCCCCGACGTGCTGTACGTCCCAGGTGTGCGGGCCAACCTGCTGTCGTCCGGCCAGCTGAAGGAGCACGGTGTGAAGCTCCAGGAGGACGGCGACGGGATGCTGCTCGTCTCGGCAGCGGGAGAGGTGCTCGGTCGGGCGACGTACTCCGGGCGTGTCCTTTGCACCGACCTGCGTCCCTGCTCAACGAGGTCGACGTCGCCCACGCCGGAGGTTGTGGCCCTGCGGGCAGGATGCATGCGAGGCTTGCACATGTCGGCATGGACACCATACGGAGCTCGGCGAAGCACGAGGTCGCCACTGGGCTGAATCTCAAGTCGGCGACGGGCGCCGACTCACCGTGTGTCTCGTGCGTTGGCGGGAAGCTGGCGCGGCACACCTTCCCCGACCAAGGCTCCGACGCCGACGACGTGCTGGCCGTCATGCACATCGACCTGTGCGGGCCGTTCCGCGTGGTTGCCAAGGACGGCAGCTTGTACTTCTTGCTGCTCAAGGACCGCAAGACCCGCTTCGTGTGGGTGAGGCCGGTCGCCAAGAAGTCGGATGTGCTGCTGGAGTTCCAGAAGTGGCTGGTGTTGGTGGAGAGGCAGACGACGAAGTCGGTGCTGATGCTTCGCTCCGACCGAGGAGGGGAGTTCCTCGGGAAGAAGTTTACCGACTTCGTGGACGGCAAGGGGATCGTCCACGACCTTACCTGCCCGTACACCCCGCAGCAGATTTGCATGGCGGAGCGGGAGATGAGGACGGTGGTGGAGTCGGTGCGGACGATGCTGTTGCACATGGGCGTGCAGCACCACTGGTGGCACCTCGCTCTGCGGCAGGCCGTCTGGGTCCGCAACTGCCTTGAGAGGTCGACGCTGCCGCCGGGGACGACGCCGTACCAGCTGCTCACCGGGACGAAGCCCGACTTGTCGCTGGCGCGGGTGTGGGGCTGCATGGCACAGTTCCTGGTCCCCGAGCAGCAGCGTGGCGGAAAGCTGATGCCGAAGGCCAGGTGGGGCCTTCACCTCGGCGTGTCGGCGGAGAGCAAGGGCTGGGAGCTCCTCGACATCGACGCCAACCGGGTGGTCACCACGTCGGACGTGGTGTTCTACGAGGACCTTTCGCTGGAAGTGTGGAAGTCGGAGTACGGGCCGGTGTCAGAACGGACGCCGACCACCCCGCCGACCGACACCTCAACGGCGACGCTACCCCTGCTCGCCGAGGTCGGTGGGCTTGCTGCTGAGGACGACGAGGACGTCCGCCCTCCTTCCCCTCCCTCTCCTGCCCCTCCCCTCCTGGCCGACCTGCGCGGGCTGACCTCGGTGTCGGCCTCCGACAATGAAAGGAGTAGTGGGACGTCGCCTTCGGCGCCGACCAAGGGCATCGCCGGTGGCCGACGGGACGAGCGGCAAGTCGACGTGGGAGTGAAGCCGATGTTGATGGGGGAGAAGCAAGTCGAGGAGAAGCAGCCGACAGGGGAGCAGGCAGCAGTGAAGCCGACCACGGAGCAGTCGGCAACCAGGCAGTCGATAGGGAAGTCGACCACAGTGGAAAGGTCGGCCAGGAAGTTGAGCGAGGTGCAGCAGGACGACGAGGACAGTGAAGACGACGACGAAGGTGGGGACGCCGAGGAGTCCACCAAGAGTGACGTGGTGGAGGTTCGGCCTGAACCCCGGAAGTCAGGCCGACTTCGGAGACCGCCTGACTTCTTCGTCCCCGCTGCCTTCACCACGGTTTACGACGTGGACGACGACGACCTGGCGTATGACGACGACGACCTGGCGTATGACGACGCCGAGGAGGATGAGGAGTTTCCAGAGCTCGACCCCGACTTGCATGCCGACCCCGAGCACCGTTGGGACATCTCGACGATGACGGTGAAGGAGGCGTTGGCGAGCTGGAAGGGCCCGGCGATGAAGGCCGCCATGGAGGAGGAGATCCGTAGCCTCATCAACATGGGCACTTGGGAGCTGGTCGAACGCCCGCCGGGAGTGAACATCATGAAGAACCGGTGGGTGTTGACGAAGTACCACGTCGACGACACCGTCGAGCGCGAGAAGGCGAGGCTAGTCGTGAAGGGCTTCACCCAGGTGTACGGCGCCGATTACGACGAGACGTTCACGCCGGTGGGCAGCTACGTCACCCTGAGGATCTTCCTCAGCATCGTCGCCGTCCTCAACCTCAACCTGATGCAGCTCGACATGAAGAACGCCTTCCTGCAGAGCAAGCTCGACCGGGTGCTCTACATGTCCCAGCCGGACTACTTCAACGACGGAACCGGCCGGGTGTGCAAGCTGCTGAAGAGCCTGTACGGGCTGAAGCAGTCGCCGCTGCTGTGGTATTTGGCGCTCAACGACGTGCTGGTCGGCGCCGGGTGGAAGAAGAGCCAGGTCGACGAGGCTCTGTACTTCAAGGTCGGCGACGACGGAGTGGCCTGCTGGGTGTTGGTCTACGTCGACGACCTGCTCGCCGCCAGCAGCAGCACAGAGATGCTGAAGGAGTTGAAGGAGCTGCTGGAGTCCGCCTTCGAGCTGCGTGAGATCTCGCCAGTGCAGAAGTACCTCGGGCTAGAGATCGTCCGCGACAGGTCGGCGGGGAAGCTGTGGCTGCACCAGCAGGGCTACGCCGACAAGCTGTGTAGGCGCTTCATTGACGAGGAGCAGACCGGGCTCACCCCGAAGACGCCGGTCTCGGTCGACGCCTACGCCGAGCTCACCTTTGACGACGAGGAGGCACAGGAGCGACAGGAGGAGGAGTACCGGCAGAAGGTCGGCTCGCTGCAGTTCGCGGCGACGACGACGAGGCCGGACATCGCCTTCGCCTGCAGCAAGCTGGGGAGCGGCCTCACGGTGAGGAGCGACCAGCACTGGCGCGAGGTCGACCGCTGCCTCGCCTACCTCGCCAACACGCGTGACACCGCCCTGGAGTTTGGCAGTGGACCTGAGTCGCTGGAGCTGGTCGGCTACGTGGACGCCGATGACGCCGGTGACAAGCAGAACAGGACGATCACGGGAGGCTACGTGTTCTTCTACGGAGGGGCTGCAGTCTCCTGGTCGAGCCAGCGCATTAAGTGCGCGACGTTGTCGTCGACCGAGTCGGAGTACGTGGCAGCCACCGAAGCCGGCAAGGAGGGACGCCGACTTCGCTTCTTCCTTGCAGAGTTCCGGCAGCTGGATGCCGGGAAGCCGACTGTCCTCCGGATGGACAACAAGTCGGCCATCACTGTCGCTGAGGGCATGGGGTTGACGGGCAACCTCAAGCACATGGAGCGACGACAGGCCTGGCTGCAACACATGGTGAGGCGCGGGAAGTTCTTGTTGAGGTACATCCCGACCACCGAGCAGCCGGCCGACTTCCTGACGAAGGCGCTGCACTATCCGGCCTTCAACCAGTGCTCCGTCGCCATCGGCCAGGTGCGCTTGGCCGACGTGGGCGACGAAGATGACGACGTGCAGCAGTAGGTGCCATGCCCTCTTGCATGGCTGGTGCGGTGGACGACGTGCTGTGTGTTGGGTGCACGTCGACGAGCTATTCTCCAAGCAGTGATGCCGTGTGGACTGGGGGCCCAAGCGTGAACGCGGCAGGGGAGTGTCAACGGGAGTTGTTGTTGTCCCCGTACTCGCTTGGGCGGAGCCGACTTCGTGGTTGGGTGTACGGGAGGTACAGCCGACTTGTAGCAGTGGTCGATGGGGTTGGTCGACTTGCACGGGGCCACTGCAATGCCGCCGACTTGGGAAGTCGGCGGCCGACTTCAACTGGTGGTCGGCGATGTGGCACGTCGACCTGGAAGTCGGCGCCGACTTGCAAGGTCACCGACTTGCAAGGTCACCCGACTTGCAAGGTCACCGACTTGCAAGGTCACCGACTTGTAAGGTCACCGACTTGCAAGGTTGCCGACTTGGAAGGTCGCCGACTTGGGAGGTCGCCGACTTGGGAGGTCGCCGACTTGGGAGGTCGCCGACTTCAAGAGGTCGGCCCGGAAGTTGGCGCCGACTTCAGGGAGGTCGACCTGGGAAGTTGACCTGCGGAGGGCGTCGACTTGGTGACGCCGACTTCGGGTAACCGACTTGGGTGGTCGGCTGACGACTGTGCTGGTCGACGTGGAGCTGGTCGACCAGGAGTGACGTCGACCTGGAGCTGGTCGACCAGGGGTGTGGTCGACCTGGTGAGGTCGACTGGAGGTGGCCGTCGACTTGGGAGGTCGACGGGCACATACAGGAGCACCTGGTCGACGTGGTTGCCCGGTCGACCAGGTTACCTGGGTGACGAGGTTGTGCGGAAGAGTGCGACGGTCGCCCAGGCGATGTTGGCGAGACTGACCTCGGTGGTGGTATCCCGAGGTCGACGTGGCGGATCAGGTGGAGTCGTCAGCACGAGGATGACACGGTGTGTGCGTTGTGCAGGTGACAAGGCTTAGCCCGCCAATCATCTGCGAGCACCTGCGAAGTAGGTGCACTGCTGTTCTGCGGGAGCAACGCTGGCACGCCGTCAACCTGCAGCGTTGGCACGCCGTCGACTTTGCACCGCTGGAGCGCGGTCGACCAAGTCGTGCTGGAACGCGGTCGACCATGCTGTGCTGGCAGTCGACCGACCTGAATGCTAGCTCTGATGTAGTCTTGCCATGCCAACTTTATTGTACCATTGTTGTCAACCTTCTCTAGTGAAACTCTTGCCAACTTGCCCCGTGAACTAGCAAGCAGTGTGTGCACTAGGAAAACGACTAAGGACCAACGAACGCAGAGATCACACGAGCACCCGTGCCTAGCCCGTAGTTTAGCTCCCGTTGTAGTAGTTATCTCCGCAGGAAATCCCCTCCCAACCCAGTCGTGCCATTAGTCCCTTCCAACCCCACCGTGCCAGCAGTCCCTCCAAACCCTGCCGTGCCAGTAGTCCCTCCCAACCCCGACATGAGAACAGTCCCTCCCAACCCCGCCGTGAGAGCAGTCCCTCTCAACCCCGCCGTGCCATCTGTCCCTCCCAACCCCGCCGTGAGAGCAGTCCCTCCCAACCCCGCTGTGCTAGCAGTCCATCCCAACCCCGCCGTGCCATCAGTCCCTCCCAATCCCGTCGTGCCAGCAGTCCCACTTAAACCCACCGTGAGAGTTGTCCCTCCCAACCCCGCCGTGCCAGCAGTCCCTCTCAACCCCGCCGTACGATCAGTCCCTCCCAACCCCGCCGTGAGAGCAGACCCTCCCAACCCCACCGTGCCATCAGTCCCTCCCATCGCCGCCGTGAGAGCAGTCCCTCCCAACCCCGTCGTGCCAGCATTCCCTCCCAACCCCGCCGTGCCATCAGTCCCTCCCAACCCCGCCGTGCCATCAGTCCCTCCCGACCCCGCCGTGCCATCAGTCCCTCCCAACCCCGCCGTGCCATCAGTCCCTCCAAACCCCGCCGTGAGAGCAGTCCCTCCCAACACCGCCGGGCCATCAGTCCCTCCCAACGCCGCCGTGAGAGCGGTCCCTCCCAACCCCGCCGTGCCATTAGTCCCTCCCAACCCCGCCTTGCCAGCAGTCCCTCCCAACCCCGTCGTGCCATCAGTCCCTCCCAACCCCGCTAAGAGAGCAGTCCCTCCCAACCCTGCCATGCCAGCAGTCCCTCCCAACACCGCTGTGCCATCAGTCCCTCCCAACACCGCCGTGCCAGCAGTCCCTCTTAACCCCTCCGTGAGAGCAGACCCTCCCAACCCCGCCGTGAGAGCAATCCCTCCCAACCCTGCCGTGCCATCTGTCCCTCCCAACCCCGCCGTGAGAGCAGTCCCTCACAACCCCGCTGCACCAGCAGTCCCTTCCAACCCCGCCCGCCATCAGTCCCTCCATACTCCGCCGTGCCAGCAGTCCCTCCCAACCCCGCCGTGCAATCAGTCCCTCCCAACGCCGCCGTGAGAGCAGTCCCTCCCAACCCCGCCGTGCCAGCAGTCCCTCCCAACCCCGCCGTGCCATCAGTCCCTCCCAACGCCGCCGTGCCAGCAGTCCCTCCCAACCCCGCCCGTGCCATCAGTCCCTCCCACTCCGTCGTGAGAGCAGCCCCTCCCAACCCCGCCGTGCCAGCAGTCCCTCCCAACCCCGCAATGCCATCAGTCCCTCCCAACCCCGCTGTGCCAGGAGTTCCTCCCAACCCCGTCGGGCCATCAGTCCCTCCCAACCCCGCCGTGAGAGCAGTCCCTCCCAACCCCGCCGTGCCAGCAGTCCCTCCCAACCCCACCGTGCCAGCAGTCCCTTCCAACCCCGCCGAAAGAGCAGTCCCTCCCAACCCCGCCATGCCATCAGACCCTTCCATCCCCGTCGTGAGAGCAGTCCCTCCCAACCCCGCCGTGCCATCGGTCCCTCCCAACCCCGCCGTGCCAGAAGTCCCTCCCAACCCCGCCGTGCCATCAGTCCCTCCCAGCCCCGCTGTGTTAGCAGTCCCTCCCAACCCCGCCGTGCCATTAGTCCCTTCCAACCCCGCCGTGAGAGCAGTCCCTCCCAACCCCGCCATGCCATCAGTCCCTCCCAACCTCGCCGTACGATCAGTCCATCCCAACCCTGCCGTGAGAGCAGTCCCTCCCAACCCCGCCGTACCATCTGTCCCTCCCAATGCCGTCGTGAGAGCAATCCCTCCCAACCCTGCCGTGCCATCAGTCCCTCCCAACCGCGCCGTGAGAGCAGTCTCTCCCAACCCCGCCGTGCTAGCAGTCCCTCCCAACCCCACCGTGCCATCAGTCCCTCCCAACCCCGCCGTGAGAGCAGTCCCTCCCAGCCCCGCCATGCCAGTAGTCCCTCCCAACCCCGCCGTGCCATCAGTCTCTCCCAACCCCGCCCTGAGAGTAGTCCCTCCCAACCCCGCCGTACCATCAGTCCCTCCCAACCCCGCCGTGAGAGCAGTCCCTCCCAACCCCGCCGTGAGACCAGTCCCTCCCAACCCCGCCGTGAGAGCAGTCCCTCCCAACCCCGCCGTGCCATAGGTCCCTCCCAACCACGCTGTGAGAGCAGTCCCTCCCAACCTAGCCGTGCCAGCAGTCCCTCCCAACCCCGCCGTGCCATAGGTCCCTCCCAACCACGCTGTGAGAGCAGTCCCTCCCAACCTAGCCGTGCCAGCAGTCCCTCCCAACCCCGCCGTGCCATCTGTCCCTCCCAACCCCGCCATGCCAGCATTCCCTCCCAACCCCGCCGTAAGAGCAGTCCCTCCCAACCCCGCCATAAGAGCAGTCCCTCCCAACCCCACCGTGAGTGCAGTCCCTCCCAACCCCGCCCTGCCAGCAGTCCCTCCCAACCTCGCCGTGCCATCAGTCCCTCCCAACCCCGCCGTGAGACTAGTCTCTCCCGACCCCGCCGTGCCATCAGTCCCTCCCAACCCCGCCGTGGGAGCAGTCCCTCCCAGCTTCACCGTGCTATTAGTCACTCCCAACCCCGCCCTGCCAAAGTCCCTCCCAACCCCGCCGTGCCATCAGTCCCTCCCAACCCTGCCATGAGAGCAGTCCCTCCCAACCCCGCCATGCCATCAGTCCCTCCCAACCCCGCCGTGAGAGCAGTCCCTCCCAACCCCACCGTGAGACCAGTCCCTCCCAACCCCGCCGTGAGAGCAGTCCCTCCCAACCCCGCCGTGCCATAAGTCCCTCCCAACCGCGCCGTGAGAGCAGCCCCTCCCAGCCCCGCCGTGCCAGCAGTCCCTCCCAACCCTGCCGTGCCATCAGTCCCTCCCAACCCCGCCGTGCCAGCATTCCCTCCCAACCCCGCCGTGAGAGCAATCCCTCCCAACCCCGCCATGAGAGCAGTCTGTCAAAGTTATATTTAAGATATATCCTGCTTGTTGTAGCTACTGTACTTATTGTACTTTGCAGTTGGTGGTGCACCTCTTGTTTCATTGTTTCAAGGCTATATCTTGTATGCTTTGCTTTTAGTGAAGCTTACTTGTTTGGTCGATTCTCTCACTCCCTTGGCCTTGACCCTTGACACCCGCTTGGCCTAGGCTACTAAGGCTAGGCCCTCCTTTAATCCCGTTACCAGTTCAGTTAGGATTGTAACATGGTATCGAGCTACTAAGATCCTAGACCTAAGTTAATGGGCCCACCGTTGGCGTTGTGCACGCAGTTATTAATGGCGCCCCTGCTGGCGCCGTCCACGCAGCTGCTGGCTCGCGAGTTCTGCAGCAGCTGCGCAATTGATTATGCTACCGTGCGACTCTGCAGCGCCTGCGCTCCTCGCTCTGCCCGTCTCATCGCTCGTCGCTCTGCCCGTCGTGCCGCTCCGTCGCGGCAGAGAGGAGAAAGAGGGGGAAGGGCGTGGAGGCGGACCGCTAGCAACGACCGCCAGCGTCGCCGCCAGCGCTAGCGACAACCGCTGCTGCCAGCGTCATCTCCAGCGGCGGTCGCCTGCACCATCGCCAACCACGCTCCCCGTCCGCACCCTGTTCGTGCATCCTGTCCGCATCCCACCCGCCCTCCCGTCGACTTCGCAGCTGCTGTGAAGGGAGTGGCGGAAGTGGCGGGAGTGGCGAGAGAAGCTGCGTCATTCATCTGCTCGCGCCAGACCGCTCGCACCCTGCCGCCCGCACGCACTTCACCGCCCGTTTCTGCCCCGCTCGCTCGAAGGCCCCACGGGCCCTGCTCGTCACCCAACGCTGCGGCTGGTCGCGTGTGCAGCGACGGTCGCGGTTGGGGGAAGGGGGGGGGGGGAGAGAGAGGGAAACGCAAAGGGCGTGGCGGCGGACCGCCAACCAACTCGCCAACCGTCCGCGCATATCCCCCGTTCTCTCGTCAGAACCCGCACCCAGCGACCATCCCGTCGTCCCGCCTCGTCCTTGCCCCACCGTCAGATCCCGCGCCGTTTCCATATGAGGGGGAGTTGGTGGGGTGTTGGCCCGTGGGGGACGGCTGGGGGAGGGGGAGTGGCGGGGTTGGCGGTTCATGGGGGGGGTGGGGAAGGGGGGGGGGGGGGGGGGGGGATGGTGGGCGGATGTCACCAGCACCAGCGCCAGCACGAGCACCAGGCACCAGCACCAGCACCAGCACCAGCGCCGTCACGCCAGCACCAGGCACCAGCACCAGCGCCAGCCGCCAGCACCAAGCACCAGCACCAGCGCCAGCCGCCAGCACCAGCACCAGCGCCAGCCGCCAGCACCAGGCACCAGCACCAGCGCCAGCCGCCAGCACCAGGCACCAGCGCCAGCGCCAGCCGCCAGCACCAGGCACCAGTACTAGCACCAGCACCAGCCGCCAGCACCAGGCACCAGCACCAGCACCAGCACCGAAGCCCGTCACCAGCACCAGCACCGGCACCAGCGTCGTCACGCCAGCACCAAGAACCAGCACCAGCAGCCCCACCTGTGACCAGCAGCCCCACCCGTGACCAGCAGCCCCACCCGTGACCAGCAGCCCCACCTGTGACCAGCAGCCCCACCTGTGACCTGCAGCCCCACCTGTGACCAGCAGCCCCACCTGTGATTAGCAGCCCCACCTGTGACCAGCAGCCCCACCTGTGACCAGCAGCCCCACCTGTGACCAGCAGCCCCACCTGTGACCAGCAGCCCCACCTGTGAAGGACTGTACAGGGATCGTCGTGTGTGGGGAGGGGTCTGGAGGAAGAAAGGGGGGAAGGGAGTGCGGTTCTAGGGGGCGGTTGACATGGGGGTGAGGTTAAAGGGGGTTGGTTGATTGGGGGTGGGGATGTGGGGGTTAGTAAGAGGGGACGCTGCGGCCACCCCCCCACCTCCTCTCCTCATCCCCCACTCAACCCCCCCTCTGTAAAAGGGGGTTAGTAAGAGGAGACGCCGCGGCCACCCCCCCACCTCCTCTCCTCATCCCTCAATCACCTCCTCATATTTTTTTATCTCCTCTCCTCTCCTCTATCTCTCTCTCTCGCCTCCTCCTCCTCACTTTCCTTTCTGCCGTCTTCCACTACGCCAGCTATACCCCTTTAAGGGGTGTTGACTACACTAGTTCCTACTGCAAGCAGGCTAAGGGGGTGTGTCAAAGTTATATTTAAGATATATCCTGCTTGCTGTAGTTACTGTAGTTATTGTGCTTTGCAGTTGGTGGTGCACCTCTTGTTTCCTTGTTTCAAGGCTATATCTTGTATGCTTTGCTTTTAGTGAAGCTTACTTGTTTGGTCGATTCTCTCACTCCCTTGGCCTTGACCCTCGACACCCGCTTGGCCTCCCAACCCCATCGTGAGTGCAGTCCCTCCCAATCCCGCCCTGCCAGCAGTCCCTCTCAACCTTGCCGTGCCATCAGTCCCTCCCAACCCCGCCGTGAGACTAGTCTCTCCCAACCCCGCCGTGCCATCAGTCCCTCCCAACCCCACTGTGGGAGCAGTCCTTCCCAGCCCCGCCGTGCGAGCACTCCCTCCCAACCCCACTGTGGGAGCAGTCCCTCCCAGCCCCGCCGTGCGAGCACTCCCTCCCAACCCCGCCGTGCTATTAGTCACTCCCAACCCCGCCCTGCCAAAGTCCCTCCCAACCCCGCCGTGCCATCAGTCCCTCCCAACTCCGCCGTGAGAGCAGTCCCTCCCAACCCCACCGTGAGAGCAGTCCCTCCCAACCGCGCGGTGAGAGCAGTCCCTCCCAACCCCGCCGTGCCAGCAGTCCCTCCCAACCCCGCCGTACCATCAGTCCCTCCCAACCCCGCCGTGCCAGCATTCCCTCCCAACCCCGCCGTGAGAGCAGTCCCTTCCAACCCCGCCATGAGAGCAGTCCCTCCCAACCCCACCGTGAGTGCAGTCCCTCCCAACCCCGCCCTGCCAGCAATCCCTCCCAACCTCGCCGTGCCATCAGTCCCTCCCAACCCCACCGTGAGACTAGTCTCTCCCAACCCCGCCGTGCCATCAGTCCCTCCCAACCCCGCCGTGGGAGCAGTCCCTCCCAGCCCCGCCGTGAGAGCAGTCCCTCCCAACCCCGCCGTGCTATTAGTCACTCCCAACCCCGCCCTGTCCCTCCCAACCCCGCCGTGCCATCAGTCCCTCCCAACCCCACCGTGCCCTCAGTCCCTCCCAACCCCGCCGTGGCAGCAATCCCTCCCAACCCCGCCGTGAGAGCAGTCCCTCCCAACCCCGCCGTTCTATCAGTCCCTCCCAACCCCGCCGTGCCATTAGTCTCTCCCAACCCCATCGTGCCATCAGTCCCTCCCAACCCCGCCGTGAGAGCGGTCCCTCCCAACCCTGCCGTGCCAGCAGTCCCTCCCAACACCGCTGTGCCATCAGTCCCTCCCAACCCCGCCGTGCCATCAGTCCTCCCAACCCCGCCGTGGGAGCAGTCCCTCCCAACCTCGCCGTGAGAGCAGTCCCTCCCAACCCCGCCGTGCCAGCAGTCTCTCCCAGCCCTGTCGTGCCAGCACCCCCGGCGGCTCCCTCGCAGGAGATGCTTCCGACTGGAATGGCGTGGGGGGTCGCAGCTGCCCACCCAGGAGCTGCTTCCGACTGGACCTCGTCGCACGCACCGACGGGCAGCGACAAGGTCGATGGAGACGCGGAAGCACCGACGGTGGAGAAATACCCCGGGGTGGTGTCCAAGAAGGATCCTAATGGTCCTGGTGTTGTACTAGGACTGTACGTGGTCGTGCAGGTCACGGCCACTGAAAGAGAGAGGGTGGTGCGGGTCGCGGCCGCCGAAGGAAGGAGGGTGCGAACATGAAGAACCTGATTTCGGGGATTCTCGAGACCGCGGAAGTGGAGTGTCTACGGTCCAACCTATCGACCGCCAAGGCATGGTGTGACAACTTGCTGTCTTAGAAGTTCGGGCGCGTCAAAAGAAAACACTGGGGAGAGTACCTTTCGGATGATTTGAAGCAGCTGAAACAAGTGTGCGTGCGCTAGAGGGCCAGAGCGGAAGCGGCAGAGGAAGTCAGGGCCACAGCGTCGCGTTCGAGCAGGCAATTGGATCTCAACCCGCGTGTGCAGCTGACAGCCGCTCTCCCCCCTTTCCCCATCATCCTCATCCACCGGGGAGAACGTCCTACGCGAGCGAGCTGGAGGCAGTCTACCGGGGCTGGTGAACGTCCTGCGCGAGCGAGTTGGAGGCTGCGACTCCCAAGTATACAGGGAGGGCGATCTTAGACTTCGCGCAGAGGAACCTTGGGTCTCCCCTTATCGCCCGCGCGACACAGACGCCAGTCGGGCTCTTAAGCCGACCGGGTACACGTGCTTCTGACCCCCCCTATCCTCCCCCTCCTTCGTCTACTCTTCCGCATTCTCAACCTCGTCGTCCTCCTCCTCCAACCACCCCGCACCCGACCACCCCGCATCCGCCTCCTCCAGACCCCCATCTTCCTCCTGCTTCACCCCCTCCTAGCTCGCCTCCTCCCGCTGCTCGCCCGTAGCCTTCGTCTCCCCGTCCACGCTCCACTCAACGTGTGCCCGACCTCCACCCAGGCTGCGAAGAGAGCATCTTGTCTGCGCATGTGCCGGGCCCGACCGCACTCCGTCCCCAGGGGTCGCGTCTCCATCGGGCCTAGCCCATCCCCGGACCCAGAGGGCCGCGTTTCAACTGCATGCGTCGGCGAGACCCTGGAAGAGTGGGGGGGCTCTGACGGCGCTCTTCCGCGCAACTATGCTGCGCCATGCCGGACAGGGCACTGCGTGGACCGTGCCTGGGATGGAAGGTGCCGGAGGGGAGTGCGAGGCGGCGAGTGGCGGCGGCCCAGCGGGAAGCCGCGCAGAGGAGCAGCATGCGGCTGACGCGGGTCCCGGCAGGGGCGCCAAGGAGGGGCGGTCGACTGCCGCCATTTGACTACCACGGGTCGCCGTTGCGCGACAGTCGTAGGGAAGGTTCTAGGAGGAGGAAGCATAGGAACGCGGCGTGTTTAAGCGGCTTCCGAATTTCGGGTTGTGCGCACAAGACAGGACAGGGGAGCGTCTTGAGAGGGGGAAAGCGAGGGCGACCTGTCCGAAATAGAGAGCAGAAAGTTAGAACAGTGAAGAGGGTTTGTACTAGCAGGCAGTTGAGTACATATAGGAAACCCTAATCTGGGCTGTACTCGCTATAGAGTACCCCACTGCAGGCTAGACAAATATAACATTCTGACACACCCCCATAGCCAAAGTGGGGTGTAATCAGCACAACAAGCAGGCATAGCAATAGTTCACAAGCACAAGTACAGCTAGAGGCATTCACAAAGAGCATGTGAGGAGGAGGAGGCTGGACTGTGAGAGGGGAGGAGATTGGAGGCGACGGGTGAAGCCGCAGACACACGGGCAACAGGAGCGCGCATACGGTGGCTACCGGAGATTGTAGCCTCCGGACTACAGGAGTAATTGGCTCCGCGGCTAAGACGAGCGGCAGGAGCAACGGACCCACAGGCGACTGGCACAGCAGGCTCGCTGGGCTACCGGAGATTGTAGCCTCCGGACTACTGGCGCTGCTGGCGACACGACGGATACCTCCGCACACTATCCCCCACTGTCGCAGACCCCCTTTCACTCACCCCCTGCTGCACCCCTAGCTCCACTCCCATGTCACCCTCCTAGCACCACTCCCTCAGCTCCCACACACCCACCCCCCTCAGCGGCAGCTGCAGCAGTGGGAGACGGAGGAGGAGGAGGAGCACGGGACAGTTCATACATCCGCCACCCCCATACCCGCCACCCCGCAGTTGCACGAGGGCAGGAGGCGGCAGGGGCGGTTCGCGGGCTGCAGGGGCGGTTCGGGGGCTGCAGGGGCGGTTCGCGAGCTGCAGGAGGGGCAGCGGGCGGGCCCCCCGAGGGCGCCACGGCGGGTGACAGGAGGGGGGCCGCGCGCGGGCCCCCGAGGGCGCCTCGACGGGCGACGGGAGGGGCTGCGCGCGGGCCCCCAGGGCGCCTTGACGGGCGACGGGAGGGGGCGACGCGCGGGCCCCCAGGGCGCCGCGACGAGGCGACGGGAGGGGGCGACGCGCGGGCTCCCAAGGCGCCGCGACGAGGCGACGGGAGGGGGCGACGCGCGGGCCCCCAAAGTGCCGCGACGAGGCGACGGGAGGGGGCGGCGCGCGGGCCCCCAAAGTGCCGCGACGAGGCGACGGGAGAGGACGGCGCGCGGGCCCCCAGGGCGCCGCGACAAGGCGACGGGAGGGGGGGGTGGCGCGCGGGTCCCCGGGGGCGCTTCGACGGGCAACGGGGGGACGACACGCTGGTCGACGGGGCAGGAAACCGCCGCGCGCCTCGGGGCGCACGGCGGGCAGAAAACCGCCGCGCGCCCCGAGCGCTCGGCGGGCAGAAAACCGCCATGCGCCAGGAGCGCGTGGCGGGAAGAAAAAACGTCGCGCACCACGGGGCGCGCGACAGACAAGACAGCAGCGGAAGCAAACGGTGGGCCCACAGGCTAGGAGCGTGACCGCTCTGATAGCATGTCAGAAATAGAGAGCAGAAAGTTAGAACAGTGAAGAGGGTTTGCACTAGCAGGCAGTTGAGTACATTTAGGAAACCCGAATCTGGGATGTGCTCGCTATAGAGTACCCCACTGCAGGCTAGACAAATATAACATTCTGACACGACCATGTTGGCGACCACCGCAGCGACGTGCTGAGCGGACGACGTTGGTGAGGCGACACAACAAAACCCAAAGATCGAAAGCACCTAGTAACGAAACAAGGAACGGGGATCAAAGCAAAATGATGCGTTGTCCAATAACAAATCGAATTTGACACCATTCAAATGCTGTGATATTGTTTGTGCTTGCTGGTCCTGGCTGTTTGGGCTAAACCCTCGTGCAATAAAAGGATCGTCTTTGTAGTTGCACCCCCCTTCGAGGGTAACGGCGTGTTGCAATTCGCGGTGCATTGCATCGGCTTGGCTCGGGGCTCGGGTTTAGGAAGACTCCAGGAAATCAAGAAGCCGTAAAACTTAAAAAAAAGGCGCAAAAACATTCTATGTCCTGATACAATTTTCACAAATAACTCTTAAAAAATCATTATCTTGAAACTTTATTTTGCCCGGGTTTTTGTTGGGTGCAAAATGTATTTGCACGGCAACCTGCCGCCTATTCATCGAGCAAGGTGAAAATCAAAGGTATATGTTTTAAGGTAATTTGGTTCGTGTGGAATGCGCATTTGTGTGCTTTTCATTTTGGCGTTTACGGTTTATGAATCGCCTTAGCGGTTCATGAGTTATGTGCATTTAAGTGTGAGGTTGCATTCATGAGTTTTCATGATTGTTCGTGTGTGTTTCGTGTGTTCGTGGCGTTTCACGAATGTGTGTGAAGTTCCGAGGGTACATGAGTGTTCATGGACCTTCGCGTCCTGTTCATGAGAGTTCGCGTGCTGTTCGTGTTCGTTCATTTTTTTTTTTTTTTGGTAGGTGAAATATGCACTATACACGTACAATGCAAAAACACCGCGGTCGTAACCGGAGATAGAGGGCCTAGGTAGTGTATACTACCGTACCCTCGCAGATTTATACGGAGGCTTATAGACCAAACGCCTAAAAATTTCAGCTTGCCCGCCACAAAGTCCTGCTATGCCGTTGTCACACTTCAGCACTAGCATACACCCCTCATATTGGTTCTGTCGCTTCATCATCTTTGGTTGCTTGGCTCCTCCGAACCTGCCTTGCCGAGTCTGGTGAGATTGGTTTGTTGCCCTGGCTCTGGGGAGAGTTGTTTTCCTGCAATTCCTCAGTCCACGACGGCGAGTGAAAATTGTAGCTGCTGCACCCGTTCTGTCCTTCCCAGAGGTGCCTGGAAGCCTTCCTCCTGACTCATCCGTGACCATAGCACGACGCCATGGACTCATGTCATCCAGTTGCATAAGAGCTTCTTGGGAATTATCTGTTGCACGATCCATAAGGATTGACCATTCACTCCTCTTAATTGTAGCGAAGTATTCAGCGTAAGCCCCCTCTTCCTCCTGGTTGTCCAGGATCACTTCAGAAAATATATCTCCTTGAGCTTCAATGGTCATCTTAATAAATAGATCTCCTTCGTTAGTCGCGTCGGCAGCCATGCACAAGGGTAGTTTCTTTAGATCCGCCAATGTAAGGTTAAACTTTCTGTCGCAACCTATCCTTGATCCAAATATGCAGCGTTCTTCAAACATTTGCTGCCGTGAAGGGCGTGAAATACAGCCAGCAATGCCACTGTCTTGAGTATCCATTGACGTCGTATACCCTGTTTTGTTAAAAAGCGACTCTGGTCGAGACCCAATCCTTTCCGCAAATGGTTGAAAGAGTGATCGGGGAGCTTCCTTTCTCTTTAGTGGTTGTCGATAAATGGCAGCAAAAACTGATAAACGGAAGATATTGTCAGAATATTATGCTCTAGCCTGTAGTGGGGTGCTCTATAGCGAGTACAACCCTTCTAGGGTTTGCTATTTGTATCCTCATTCTTGCTAGTGCATCTCCTTCTTCTTTGCCTAAACTGTTTCTTGCCTAGCTAGGGCTTTCCTAGCTATGGCGCCTTCTTCTACTGCTTATCTTCACATGGTATTAGAGCGATATGCTCCTGGCCTGTGGGCCCCACCTCACTGCTTCCGCTGCTACTGCTACTCCCTGTCCGCCGCGCGCCCCGTGGTGCGCGGCGTCGAAATTAGGGTTTTTCAGCCCGCCGTGTGCCCCGAGGCGCGCGGCGGTTTTCTGCCCGCCGTGCGCCCCGAGGCGCGCGGCGGTTTTCTGCCCGCCGTGCGCCCCGAGGCGCGCGACGGGTTTCTGCCCCGTCACTCGGCGCGTCGCCCCCAGGAGGCGCTACGACGGGCGACGGGGACCCGCGCGTCGCCCCCCGTCGCCCGTCGTGGCCTGCGCGCGGCCCGTACAGCCGGCGCGCGGCCCGTACGGGCTGCGCCAGGCCCGCGCGCGGCCCGTACGGGCTGCGCCAGGCCCGCGCGCGGCCCGTACGGACTGCGCCAGGCCCGCGCGCGGCTCGGGCCGCCTGCGCGCGGTTCGGGAGGCTGTGCCAGGCCCGTGGGCGGCCCGTTCTTCGCTGCCCCTGTCCTCCCCGCTGTCCCCCGTGCTTCTGAAGGCGCCCCACCCCTCCTTCTGCCTGTTCTCCTGGATTAGGGTTTGGGGGTGGGGGGTATGGGGGTGCAGCTTCTGTGTGCCGTTCCCTGCTCCTCCTCCTCCTCCGTCTCCCTGTGCTGCAGCTGCCGCTGAAGGGGGGTGGACCTGTTGGAGCCGTCGGAGTGGTACTAAGGGGGGGTGAAGGGGGAGTGGAGCTAGGGGTGAAGCAGGGGGTGTGTGTCAGGGGGGGTGGTACTGTTTGGGGGAGGTTGAACGGAGGTTGCCGTCGTGTCGCCAGCAGCACCTGTAGTCCGGGGAGTTGCTCCGGTAGCCCAGTCGTAGCCACCTGTGCCAGTCGCCCGTGGGTCCGTTGCTCGTCTGCCGCTACTTTTAGCCGCGGGGCCAGTTACTCCAGTAGTCCGGAGCGCTGTTCCGGTAGCCGCTGTGCCAGTGTGCCTCCTGTTGCCCGTGTGTCTGCAGCTTCAGCCGTCGCCTCCTATCTCCTCTCCTCTCACTGTCCCTCCTCCTCCTCACTTGCCCGTTGTGACTACCACTAGCTTTGCTCATAATTGTGAACTTTAAACTATTGCTTCCTGAACTTGTGCTCAGAATGTGTGGTGACATTGTGATCCACCCTGAGCTTGTTCTGCTTTGCTTGCTCTGCTGATTACACCCCACTTTGGCTATGGGGGTGTGTCAGAATACTATGCTCTAGCCTGTAGTGGGGTGCTCTATAGCGAGTACAACCCTTCTAGGGTTTGCTATTTGTATCCTCATTCTTGCTAGTGCATCTCCTTCTTCTTTGCCTAAACTGTTTCTTGCCTAGCT